CCCCAAAACCCCAAAACCCCAAAACCCCAAAACCCCAAAACCCCTTGGGGAGGAGAAGAAAAGGAAAAGTTAAAATTTATTTTTAGTTTCATTATCATAATATGTTCCACCCTACAGATGTCTCTTCTCAGCCAACAGTGTTGAAGAAACGAGCTTTTAGTGCATGAAGACATGCAAGGAATGGTAAGAAGAGTGGTTTGAAAGGGACTAACTAGATGCAACTGCTTTACAGTGAAATTTAGCATAAAAAAGTGTTTTAGTGATTCTGAGAGGAAATAAGGGAGCAGAAAACGGTGTATTAGAATTATTTATAACTCAATCAGCTGTTTTGTGATTACCCAAATTTTTCTTCAGAAAGAGAATAAAATAAAGCTGAGTCATCTGATAAATTTAATTTTTCTTTTAGCAGCTGATATTCACCAGATGAATAATCTTCGTACGACTGTCTACAACCCACAGCCTGGACTCTCCTCTTGAATAACTCATTATGAGGTTGAGCAGCAGAAGAAATAAGTTGCGAGAAGATTTCTTCAAGCAAAAATGAAAGACTATAATAAAGAAAAAGATGGAATTTCTTATTTCACATAACAAAAAGCAGAGGATCAGGAATAACAAGAGAGCAATGAGATGTAACATCACTAAGCAAAAGACTCAAATCATCTCAAATGCCCTTGGTGATGCTCTTTTAACATCTGGTGCTAAGAAAACAGAAAAGAAGAAGCTTGTAAAAAGGTCTACTAGTTGCAATTCCGACTATGACGAAGCCAATATCCTGTGTAAGAACCTTCAGGACCGAAAATTTACTAATCTCTCAATAAGGGATGGGTCAGTAACAAAGAGAAGAATCTCATATTGCCAAGTTGTGAATGTATTTACTAATCAATCCTCTAAGTAACAATTTTAGAGTAATTTGATATAGCTGAAGACCCGCTAATCTTAATCTTCATGAAGCTAAGGTTGTCAAACCTAGCCAAAGGAAGGAAGTTATGGTCAAACAAACCAAGTCAGAATTTAAACCGACATCTAAAAGAAGGATCTCTCAGACAAATGTGGGCAAGCAAATGATCGCGAGAAAACCTTGTCAATCGAAGCTAGTCTCAGTAAGAAAATCTAGCTTGGCTCAGACCTCCATCTTTGAGCATACTGAAACGGCTACATGTGATACTGGTTCTTCCCAGATTGCTATTTCTGAATCTAAAAACGATGCTGAAGCTCTTATCCTCAGACGGAGAGATCTAAATTCCATGGATTGATCAAAGATTGATTTTGTCACACCAAATAAAAGTAAGACTAAACGAATCATAATGAATGACCTCACTGGTTCGAAGCAGAAGGGAGCTTCTTTGATGATTATACAGAGCGTGAACACAACTGCTCAGACTATCAACGATTCTAGTCGGAAGTCTCAAAACCCTACAACCCAGCCAGGATCGAAGAAGCTCAGTGCCAGGAGAATTTCTCTGACCTGAGGGAAAAAGAAGAAGCAATTGAGGAAGAATGATAAATATAAAGCAAAGCTGAGGCCTAAATTTTCGCAAAATCCCATTGAGAATTCAAAGGAAAAAAGACTGAACATTAAACGAAAAGACCTTCATGTTCAAGCTAAGCCTTACACTGAGCTGAAAGAGTATATCGAAAAGCAGAGTAAGATTTGTGATAAGCAAAGAGGAGTCAGGACTAAATGTGTGAGGTCGATGACACAAGATTTCTAAACAGAGTTTATAAATAAAGTGTTTTTCATAATTATTACAAATCATCTCTATCATAATCTTCGCTATAGTCTTGTTGTTCTTCTACGATTTCGCCTAAGCCAAAGTCCCCTTGGTCATCATGGGAGAAGAAGTAGCCTCCTACTATCTTCCATAAGCCATTTTTGTTTTTGGCTCTGGTTCCTGAGACTTCTGCTTGTCCGATAATTGGGCAGTTCATGCAGTTTTGCCTAGTAAACATGGATCTCGCATCAGTGTAAAGGTAATTTCCAGAAATTTTGTGTTTCAGATAGAAAAGGGTTCTTCCAGTGATTTTGTCGCCATTGAGGCCATCCTTGCATTCAATTATCCAGTTGTCACCACTATCGCCGACTCCACTCTCTCCGAAGGCAGATACTTCAGATCTTTTGCTGACTGGAGATTCGAATTCATGAGAGTGGAGGTTTTTGTAGGTTCCCATATGCTCAAGTCTGATTGTTGAGCCTCATGGAACTATGTCTCCTGTGAGGCATATTTCGTCTCCTTCGCCCTCCTTGATCATCCAGAGGGAGCCTACATCTGTGGAACTCTCAAGGCCTGTCACTGCTTGCTGGAAGCTTCCACTTCCATATGAGATTGGATGAGAATGAAGATGATACCCAAGCGCATTATTGACAATTCTTACAGTAGTAGTTCAGGTGAGGTACTGGTTTTGGATTAAGTCATGGATCTTATCCTCATCATACTCTGTTTCAGCAACTGTGTTGCTGACCATGAGACAAATGACCAGAAATGTTTGGATAATGAACACGTGTTTGGGCATTATTTTCAAGATTTAATAAAATTATGTTAATTTTTTGGAAAGGGGTTTTGGGGTTTTGGGGTTTTGGGGTTTTGGGGTTTTGGGG